TTTATCTTGGGACGATTGCATTCTGACGTGGGGTAGACTTGCCAGTAGGCGAGCCCTCGCTGGGACGTGCATGCGCACTTGACAGTTTGATAGTGTTCATTTGGGAGTCTTCCTGTTGAATGCAGAAATATGTAAGCTGCATGAATTTGCAAAGTTAGGGTGCATGTAAGATGCTCCTGAGACAAGTGTGCTATGCATGTCACCGAATGCCTTGCGAAAGCTCCTTTTGGGAACATGCGCAGCTGCCACGATGGCAAAAGCCGACGAGATCCGCAGTTCGTTCTGCTGAAAGAGTATGATTCATGTCATGCTGGTTGCTTGCAAACACGGTCTCTTGTGTTTGTGTGTTGAATTCCGAAGTTAGATTCTGCTTCTTGGCAGGCCGTGCTGATGATGATCGATCCAAGCCCAGGCTTTGCCGTTTGAATCGTCATGTGCTTTGGTCAGTTCATGTTGCTGTACTGCCATGATGCAGGCCTACATCCTTTCGTCGGAGAATGAACTATGAATCTATGCCACATTCTCATGCAGCAGAAGAGCTTCTGGATATGATTGGGAGTGGCAAGGCCCATGTGGCACATGCTCAAAATTTGGCGCAGGCTATGATTCGGGATGGGATTCCAAAGGAAGCTGTCTCTGCTTTTGCGAGCCTGGGATCATTTGGGCAGCATCCTTCGAATGCTGAGCGTGACCTACATAGATGGCTGAAAGGTATCTTTGGAATGTGCTTGGAACCATACTATATAGACTTGCTACTTGAAACGGAGGATGTTGATGAGGACGCCGGGAAACCTTTGACGGCAACCAAAAGGATTCCTGTTCTCCTACCACACGAGATCTTCGCTGAGCTTCATTCTTCAAGTGCGTATCAGGTTCCGACCGGACACAAAACACCGAGGGAGCACAAGACTAACCTTTTGCGACAATCTTTTCTCGTTTGTTTTCACGCATGTCTCTTTCCGTGCGAGTGGTTCTAAGGTTTGTTGGTGCATCTTGTTACATAATATGACTCTTTGTTCCCTGTCAGTTTGGTACGAGCATGCTGGGGCACCAGACACCGAATGCGATCAAAGAATTTTGGGAACATTTGCAACGGTTTGCGCCGATGGATATCAAGGGTCATCCGGCTTTGGAGAGCTGTGATCTCTCCGAGCTTGTGCCGCTCCTTGTTCACTTTGATGGTGCAGAAATGTACAGGAATGCTGAGTACAACATATGGTCTTTTTCCAGTGTATTTTCTTCTATGCTGGATGTGGATTGCATCCAAACTCAATTCTTGTGTTGTATCCTTCCTCATATTGCGATGGAAACCAAGGAGGCCTGTGGGGGATTCCATTTGAACTTCGTATAATGTGTCATAGAAGTAGAAAGTAGAATACATTCCCAGAGGACGCCCGCTTGATTTTTTTCGATCGGCCGCTTGATTTTGGAGGCACACGAAACTTCTATTGAATTTGAGGAAATTTCAATCGTTTGGAACTTTTGTTGGTACGTGTTTCTATTGATTTTGAGTGTTGACTTCTATTGATTTTAATCGTGGTCTTTCTATTGATTTTATGGAAAATTTCTATTGATTTTATGGAAAATTTCTATTGATTTTATGGAAAATTTCTATTGATTTTATGGAGATTTTCTATTGATTTTGAGGTGGATGTTTCTATTGATTTCAATCACCAGCTTCAAGCTGAAACGACGGCCCGGGCGGCCCCAATTTGCTAACCAAATAATGTATACAATGAGAGAGAGAGAGAGAGAGAGAGAGAGAGAGAGAGAGAGAGAGAGAGAGAGAGAGAGAGAGAGAGAGAGAGAGAGAGAGAGAGAGAGAGAGAGAGAGAGAGAGAGAGAGAGAGAGAGAGAGAGAGAGGAGGGAGAGAGAGAGAGAGAGAGAGAGAGAGAGAGAGAGAGAGAGAGAGAGAGAGAGAGAGAGAGAGAGACAGAGAGCGAGAGAGACAGAGAGACAGAGAGACAGAGAGCGAGAGAGAGAGAGAAAGAGAGAGAGAGAGAGAGAGAGAGAGAGAGCAGAGAGAGAGAGAGAGAGAGAGAGAGAGAGAGAGAGAGAGAGAGAGAGAGAGAGAGAGAGAGAGAGAGACAGAGAGAGAGAGATACAGAAAGACGGAGGAGACAGACAGAAGAGATGGGATGTGGGCCGGACGGCCCCACGAAGGGAGAAGGCGGGGGAATCATTTTTGGCAGGTTCGTGCATGGCAGCCGTCTTGAAACCAAAGCTTCCAGGGGCCGGACGGCCCTAAGAAGGAAGAAGGGGGGGAATCATGCTTCAAATTTCGGCAGCCGTCTTCAAGCCAAGCTGCCAGGAACTTTGGGCTAGGTCAAGATGCAGGGCGATGATGAAATTGTCGTCCAGGCCTATGCCAAGCTGCTTCACGCCAAGGTTCCAGGCAAGGTCGCGAGGTCCTTGGTCGTGATGTGGCGGAGAGGTTACCTAGACCAGCTGGAGATTCTTGGCATGAACACATATATATATATATACTTATACATATGCCGTACTTATATAGACTATGTATCTATTTTTTAGGTATGTAGAGCTAAGGGATGTCGACAAGGAAGTGGGCTTCCTGAACTTTTTGGAGTACCTCATGTACAAGATCGAGAATGATATGGAGATCGACCCCGAGCGCTGGCCGGAGGCGACGAAGCACATGAAGATGAAGGAGCACGGGTACATCCGGTTGTTGCTCAACGATGCTTCATTGATCGCTCTCCAAGCAAACCCAGGCATCGACCGGGATTCAGGGCTGCATTTTTTTGAAACTGAGCCGCCCGTGCGCCAGGTCCCAGGATCTGACCAGTGCCAGGCGGCTGGGAGGTGAGCTCCAGGACAAGCCTCAAGTTTTGAGAACATAGGAAAGTGTCGAGGCGGCAGAGATTCTGCCGCTTCCGCGCCGTCCCAGGTTCAAAAATTCAAGGGGGCGTTTTTGTTAGAAGCGGCTTAATTCAAGTGCTAATCCAGGGCAGGCTACTGCCAGGGTATAATTCAAGCCGAGATCGATCAAGCCCTGCTTGACGTGCAAAATTGACTTGGCGAGAAGAGGACCTGAGCTGAAGTTTTTTTTCATAGTACGCTGAATGCTTCAAGCTTCTGCTAAAGGCCCTGGCTTCAAAGCCAGGCAGGTCCTGGGCTTCAAGCTCCAGGCAGGTCTGTCGGGTTTAAGTCCTGAGCTTCTTAGAGCCATGGGCAGCCCCGCAGCTGCTGGCCGAGGCGGCGAACGCAACTTCGCCAAGCCGGAGGTGGACCAGGAGCACTTGCTGGACGTGTTCAAGAAACACGTCAAGCTCCTAGGTGTCCAGGCCGCCTTCAACTTCGACCCCTACGGCAACCTAGCCAAGACGAGTGCTGTCCAGGCCAAAGGGCTTTCAAAGGCGACGGTGTTGCTCAAGAAACTCCAGGAGGTGGAGAGCGGCTTGGCTTTCAAGTACAAGGACTTGAAGGAGTGCTTGGCCAAGGTCAGCAAAGACTACCCGGACCTCATCCACCAGGCCCCGCTGAGCAAGCAAACTGCTTGGGCTGGGGACACGGCCGAGATGCTGCTGACAGTCATGGCTCATGCTCGCCGCTTGTGCAACGACACCAGGTTCAAGGAGGCTTGCAGCAAGGCGACCCAGTTCGAGATCAAGGATCTCGAGGAACTCAGGGCGCTGCTTCTTCCAGAAGTGTCGGCCTCCCCAGCCAAGCTCCAGCAGGCGGAGACCCACAACACCAAGCGGCCGAGCACAGGGACGCCAAGCCCTGCGACCAAGCCGCCAAAGCTACGGTCGTTAGCCCCTGCGAGCAGTCCGCTTCGAAAGATTCGGACCAGGGATCTGGAGCTTCCAGACACTCCCAAGACCGCCAAGACGAGTTTGATCCAGGAAGCCGAAGGCAGTCCCGTGCCAGGCAGCAAGGCTCGAATCAGGAAGTCTTGGGAGGGCGAGGTTTTGAAGAAACCAGCTGCAGCCGCTAAGCCTGTAAAAAAGGACAGTGACAAGCCGAAGAAGAAGCCGGCCTCTAATCTTAACATTAGAAAAAAATTTTTGTTGTTCGTAAGCATATATTTCTATCTAGGAAGATGTATTTAAGTGAAGCCATGAATGTTTAATCTCCATCATCAGGCCCCCAAGGACAAGGACAAGCCCGAGTTGACGGAGGCTGAAAGGGGCAAGCTGCAGATCATGCACTACCACGACAGTGTCGCATTGAGAGTCGACGGTTCTAGGCAGCTTTTCCAGATCGTGTGCAGGAAGCATGGTCGGGATAAGACCAAGCTTCAGGTTGCAAAGATGAAGAAGAAGCTCGCCGAGGGCGGCTCTTTGGCAGAGGCCTTCAAGGAGAAGGCTAAGTTTTTGGAGTCCTAGTTTCAAGTCTTTTAGTGGTCCAAGCCAGGGCTGGAAGCCCGGTGGCCTCGACTGCATAAGCCAGTATGCATGAGTGAAAAACACATCGACCCTCCAGCTGCATGAGCCTGCAAGTAAAGGTTCAAGGGCTGGACAGCCCTTTTCGGCGGCAAATGCTCCCAAGCGAGATCGATCTTCGGCCGCTGCAGCTCCCAAGCTCAAGAAGCAGCTTTAGGAGTTACTTAGTCAGGCAGCCAAGGAGCTGCCAAGTCAAGCCGGTCCACGCCATGGCCGGCCAGCAGCCTCGAGGGCGCCCAGGAGGACCCATCCCCGCGATGGGAAAGGGCCCCCAGCGAAACAGTCAGCCAGGCGGCACCGGACACTTGCACGCATGTAACAAAGTTTTGCATTTGTTTTAAGGATTTAACGAAACCGTTGATGTCTATTTGAAAGCACTCAGACTCAAGCGCCTGGCGAGAGAACTGGAGGGCGCTTTACAGCCAGTACAAGGACGAGGCCGGCCTTGGAGTAACAAGCAAAAGTTTATACATACATTATAATATATATATATATATATATATATATATATATCAAAAAATATACATAAAAATATGTACATATATATATATATATATATATATTTGTTTTTTATATGTTTGTGTCCCTTGTTGCGGTCCCTATCTAAGCCCCCATCCCCTAAAACTATAACCCCTGCGGCCAGGGCGAGACCTTCGGCCACTGGCAAAACGATGTGGTGCGACACCTTAGCCTCAAGTTCGACACCCAGATGCCCCAGGACCAGTCGATCAGGTTGTTCATTAACCGGGTATTTGAGCAATCAGGAACAATCGAGTCGATCGACGACTGGCTGGAGGTACAGTTGGATGAAATGAGCATAAAAAGGAGCAGCCAGGAGCCCCAGGATCCCCGCTCATCCAGGAGCCAGCAATCCCAGGAGCTCCACATTAATTGGACCTCCAATGGGCAGGATGAGCAGGGTCGACCCTTGTCACCCTGGAGGCGGCCACAGCCACTGCCTGCACCTCCTAAGGGCCTCCAGCTCCAGGGCAAGACGTCGCCACCTCCCAAGCAGCCGCCGGCGCAAGCACCTGCCCAGGAGCAGCTTGACTGAATTTACTTGACCTTTTAATCTTCAAAACCTTTAGCTGTATTCAAGCCGTCAAGGGCTGGAAGCCTATTGAAGCCGTCAAGGGCTGGAAGCCCTATTGAAGCCGTCAAGGGCTGGAAGCCCTATTGAAGCCGTCAAGGGCTGGAAGCCCTATTGAAGCCGTCAAGGGCTGGAAGCCCTATTGAAGCCGTCAAGGGCTGGAAGCCCTATTGAAGCTGTCAGGGGCTGGAAGCCCTATTGAAGCTGTCAGGGGCTGGAAGCCCTTTTAGCTGGAAGCACCCCCAAGTAGCAGTGGAAACACCCAAAATTCGCCCTTAAGTTTGAGTCATGATCTCAGGCCCGCTCCGCCCGCTACCCCGGCGACCTCAGTCCCAGCCACCACAGCAGAAGGCGACCTTCCAGGCTTGAATTATCCAAAGTCATGTATAAGCCACATGTAAAACGATTTTTGAAAACCCGTAAGCTTTCTTTGAAATCTCGGCAGCTTGCAGGAGGTCAAGCTGAGACGGAGGATCCCGCTGCCCTCTAGTTCTTGGAAGCCGAACTTGCCAAGCTCCAGGAGACCAGGCTCGAGGTGGCCCACGAGATCTACAGGCGCAACCGCGAGGTCGGATCTTTAAAACATAATTATCATCTACTCTTTAAGCAAAGATTTTATTATAAAAAAACCTATTATACTGTTTCCTTCTATTCTGAATTCTAGGAATATACGATTTCCAAGGCCCAGCTCCAGGACGAGCAGGAAAACGAAAGGCAGGCCACAGAGACGGAATTCCAAGAATTCCAAGAGTCAATGGAAGAAGTCAAGGCGAACTCTGATGCCGAATGAGAGGAAAAATTGATAAAGGAGGTGGAGGAGAGGAGGGCCAAGAGGTCGAAGACGAGGAGTGACG